AACACACACAAACACACACGCGTACGAACACACACAAACACACACACAGACACACACATATACACACACACACACACACATACATAATATAATAATAAATGATGATAATTATGTTCGTCTAAGCCTCATTTTCATGTCAAAGTGACATTTTCACTTACCCGGTCACACAACGCCTATCAAGAACTTTCTTAAAGAACTTTTTTCCACGAACTCTTTCTGCTTTCCGAAGTTCTCCCACTTTTGAAATAGCACAGGTATAGTTTAGAGGTGCACTAAAAGAGAGCCAAGGTAGATCTAATTCTAAGATTCTGACTGTCGTGATTATAAACACTCAGCGTAAGATTATTATATCTTTAGGTCACTTCTCAAAACTTACTCGGTCCTTAGTCCATCTGCTGTCAGCGTGAATGCAAAAATTAAAAGGTTGCGATTTATTCGTGTTTTAAAAAAGTGCACCCATGTGTAGTGTACAGAAAGTAATGCTACCTCACCGCTCTCTGTCGGGTTTTCTACTCCTCGTCTCTTCTGCTCAAGAGGTGTGTTCTTTTAAAAAAATTAATAAATAAAACGTTGAATAATAAATAATAACATAAAATAAATAACAACCCCCCCCTTCCCCTTTGCACCATGGGCACAGAGCAACGACCTTCATGAAGCTGAGCTGTTCACTGCGCTCATAGAACCCGTGCTTCACCGTGAGTTCAGGATGTGCGGGACTTTCTGATCTCTGGGGACCTGGACATTCTCATCTTTTGTTTCGGGGTTGTTGTTTTTTCTCTTTTTAAGTGGTTGGGTTTTTTAAAAATATTTTTATCTTGTTTGTTATTGTTTATTGCTATTTATATTTTCAGAAACACACAGACACACATATATACGCACACACGCACGGACGCACACACACACACACACGCACACACACGCACACACACGAACACAAGCACACACATACACACACACATACACACACACACATACACACATACACAATCACACCTCAAACACACACATACACATACACAATCGCACCTCAAACACACACGTATAATATTAAAGCCTATCTCTAAGAGAAAGTGAGAGAGAGAGGGGCACAGAGATACAGAGAGAGACAGAGAGCCAGAGAGACGGAGAAAGAGACAGAAAGGGGAGAGAGGGGGGGAGAAGAAAGAAAGAGGGAGAGAGAAAGAGAGAGAGAGAGAGAGAGAGAGAGAGATAGTCCTACTGACCAGCTTATTTGAGCGACTTGCGATCCAGACAGTGCTTCCAAGGCTTTTCTCACCACATATTGGAGATAAACTTTAAGTTCGGAGGTTCCGCTTCCCAAAATAGTAGATTCTTTTGTAAACCCACGCTGTTAAAATGAACGATAATCCAAACCATTCCTCAGCTGATAGGAGATGACTTAACCCTCGCAATATAGTATTGCAAATAAAAAAGGTAAATGTAAGCAAAAGCTGAAAGAAATAATATGTACAAGCAAGTTGATGGAAATTCTAGAAAATTATTTTTTATTTGGTGAATGCATGAACATCAATTTTCCAAAAACAAAAAGGCAGTGTTATAGTGATTCACATAAATCAATGCTCTTTATCAAAGTTTGATCAATCGACAAATCCCTTTCTATTTTTAGAAACAATCAATTTTGTTTGTTAAATATACTATACATATTATATGGTGAACACAATACATTCGATTTGCATTGCACAATATTTGAGGTTTCCATTGTACAAAGGTTAATAACTGTCATGCTTGTTTTAACATCATGTCACTTTTTCGTAGTTCTTGAATTTTCCTGGATTTTGTTGAATTTACATAATAGATAATAGTTTTGCATTGGTTATGTTATTTATCAATTTCCATCTATTTTCCCAAGTCAAATTATTTTACTGTTTCATTTCCTTTTCATTTACATACGAGCTGGATCGAGAAATAGAATATACATTAGAAAATTATGATAAGCGTAAATGTTTTACCCCCAATCAAAACGAAATAGATCATAATTCGTTCAACCCTCCTTGTCACTTTGTCAGGACTATCCTGGGCTTAGAGGGATACAACGCCACAGCACACAGACAAAGATGCTCGATTTAAAAAAACAAACAACAAAAACAAAAACCCCTTGATGGGAATAGAACTCACACCACCTGTGTGCGATAGCGGACAGTGTAACCCTGTCCCCGAGGTTTTATGCATCCCGCATAATTTAGCAAATTTTGATCATTTTTTTTTCATAATTTCTGATTATTTTCCTTTATCATTTTTTGTTAAAATTAACAGAATCGCATAATTTCATATTTTTGGGCTCATGCTCAGTTTGCATAATTTCAGAATGTTTCTTGCATAAAACAACGGGGACAGGTAATCGCTACATCACGAAAAGGGTAAAAAGTCTGTAAACAATATTTTAAACTCTGGAGGTCCACCATATCCCAAGTTGATCTGAAAACGCTAAGAAACGTGGGGAACATCTACTATGGATTGAAAGCCCTGAAGGCTTGAACTTGAAGGGATTTAAGTATCAACATTCTGCTTGGGTCTTCACGATGGAAACAATCCTCTCGGTGGGTGATTGGCGGGAGCTCTGGTGTGGTTTGCTCCTTCTATCTTGTAAAAATTCTATCTTCCTCATCTCTCCTCCCTTTTTCCCGCGTTTGTTTGTACTCTCGTGTAATACATGTACCTCTAAGCTTAATCTTCGACACTTATAGCATGTCCTTATTGTGTTGCAAGTGCCGTAAAATTCTTACTGAAACTAAAACCAAAAATCGCAGATTCAGCTCAAACTTATTGTCTTTGGTTTTGTTCTCGATGCATGTGGTAGAACAGTAAAGTAAAACATACGTAACATACAGAAAAATACAAGTTAAAACACACACACACACACACACACACACACACACACACACACACACACACACACACACACACACACACACACCATACAGCATACAACATGACAAAAACACATACGTTATCACTAATATATTTTATACTTCTGCTTCAAGTACGTACTTTCAGCACGTAGAGATAAGAAATGGATGATACATAGATAGAATAGTAGATAAGTTTCTCAAAGGTATTTTATTTTCGGGTTGATAGACATAATTTTCTAAATGTTTTTGCTGTTCAGCATGGAAATAACAAAAGAATAACAGCAACAACAACAATGACAACAACAACAGCAACAACAACAACAACAGCAACAACAACAATTGTTAAAAGCTACAATAATAATGAAAATAGTAATGATATGCTGCCGTATCATGCAATGAGCAAAGCCTTTTTTTGTGGCTGCAATAGAATTATACACTATAATACTTTTGCAATAGATGTTACTACTGTCTCGCTGTATTTTCACTCTGAAAAAAAAAACCCTACTATTTACATAGCTTGCACAATATTTGACATTTTGAAGAAAGAAAAAAAATCGAAATTTTGAAGAAAGAAAGATAGATATTTTGAAGAAAGAAAAATAGATATTTCGAAGAAAGAAAGATAGATATTTTGAAGAAAGAAAGATAGATATTTTGAAAAAAGAAAGATAGATATTTTGAAGAAAGAAAGACAGATATTTTGAAGAAAGAAAGATAGATATTTTGAAGAAAGAAAGATAGATATTTTGAAAAAAGAAAGATAGATATTTTGAAGAAAGAAAGACAGATATTTTGAAGAAAGAAAGATAGATATTTTGAAGAAAGAAAGATAGATATTTTGAAGAAAGAAAGAAAAATATTTTGAAGAAAGAAATGACGACATTTTCATCAAGGTGATACTGTAGTTATCTCTCCCCATCATGTTTTTTTTCTGACGCTTATAATCCCAGAGTTGGCATAACATTTGGATAGGTTAAAGAAGGATGCACTTTCAAAATACTTCAGTTTGAGGTTGAAAAACAAATAATCGTGATAAAAATATATTTTGTGGCCTACATGGTAAAGCATTTTTTTTCTTTCTTTTCTTTTTTCTTTCCTTCTTTCTTTCTTTCCCTATTTCTTTCTTTCTTTCCCTATTTCTTTCTTTCCTCCTTGCTTTCTTTCTTTCTTTCCTTCTTTCTCCCTCTCTCTCTTTTTTCATTTTTGTTATTCTTTTTATTATTTTTTTAAAAATTATGACATAAAGTCACACAGTTCTTCCGTGGCCTCAGTTAAAACAACTGTAGCTTGCAAGGCAGCCGTTAGGGGCAGTGTGGAGTGCGGTAAAGTGCTTTAAAACGCAAAAATATGGTACTGAAACATTAACTTTAATATTACGAAACACAAGCCTAACTAGTGATTGTTTAATTTTGAAAATTGCTTTGAGCAACTGTAAATTACATTTAATCAAGTTTTTTTTTTCTGAAATCGGAGAATCATTCCCTTTTCAGAACTTCTCAAAGTGAAGTCAAATCATTCTCATTCTCATGGGTACTTCTTCATCGTTTGAGCTGACAAGACAATTGACGCTTATAATACCAGAGATGGCATTACAAGTGAATTATTGTCTTAAATAAAGAAGTGAGTACGTTAAAAATACTTGCTTTCAGTTGGGGTTTAAAAACAACAACAACAACAAAAGCCCACCCCCTCCCCCCTTCCACCTTTCTGGCTTAGCCATCATCAGAACCTCATCTCGAGGAGTCGTTCCCCTTCCACTCATCATCAACATCAAGTGGCCGATCTGCGACAGACAAAGGCAGGCGATCATCGGTCTCCGTTGATTCCTTTGCTCGGATTAGAGCTCGATATATCCAGTGTCAGCGTGTAGCAGCGGCTGGTAGACAGCGTTGTGTTTAACGTACCAGGATCTGTTTGCGAGTTGGTAAACCACGATCCCTAAAACTACAATACAGGCCATGCCTATAGGAAGAATGACCTTCAGAGTCGACTTGGACTCGCCGGAGACTGCAGTTTCATCTACCGTGAACGGGTCCACGGTTGGGTTCTCTGCATTGGACGCAGGGTTTTTGTTCGATCCCAAGTCGTCTGTGCTGTTTACTTGTTCACTGGACTGCACTCCGCAACTCAGCAGTTCGTCGGGGGGAGGGGGGAGGTCCTCAACTTTGCCCTCTTGAAGTATCATGGACATGCCCACTTCCGTGTGGAACTCAATGTGGCAATGGAAGAACCAGAAGCCTGTTGGGGTTTAGGAAAACGGGACAAACTATTATATAGAGGGAAAGGAAAGGGAGTTGGGTGGAACCTCTAGTGGGTAAGAAACTGGAAAACCACAGAGGTTGAGAATAGGGGAAAAAAACCTAGAGTGGTTAAGAAACAGGAAAGCTGTAGACGTTGAAAAAGGGAAAACTATAAAGGTTAACCCTTCCAGCCCAAGGCATTTTTGTGCACTCCCTAACCCCAGTCCAAACCAATACAGCAGCATATCAGAAAAAGAGGCATGCATTCTTTAAAAAATGACGCAGTATCTTTATAATGAGGTTTACATGTTAACATATATAAACATATTTAAAGATAAAGGAACAAATATGAAAATTAAATCAGGTTCGCTAATTTCTAAATATACGTAAATTCGATACCCCAAAAACTGAGAATATACGCTCTTGGGACGGAGGGATGTACAAGCACTGATGAAAATATACGCACGGGGCTGGAAGAGTTAAGAAACAGGAACCTTATAGTGGTTAAGAAACAGGAGAACTATAGAGGCTGAGAAAAGTGGAAAAAACTATAGAGTTTGAGAAAAGTGGAACTACAGGTTGAAAGCAGGGAAAACAATAGAGATTAAAAAATAGGAAAACTATAGAGGTTGAGAAAAGGGGAAAAAACTATAGTGGTTGAGAAGGAGGGAAAAAAAACTATAGAAGTTGAGGACAGGGGAAACTAGAGGTTGAGAAAGAGGAAAAAACTATACAAGTTGAGGAAAGGGAAAACTAGAGGTTGAGAAAGAGGAAAAAACTATAGAAGTTGAGGAAAGGGGAAACTAAAGGTTGAGAAAGAGGAAAAAACTATACAAGTTGAGGAAAGGGAAAACTAGAGGTTGAGAAAGAGGAAAAAACTATAGAAGTTGAGGAAAGGGGAAACTAAAGGTTGAGAAAGAGGAAAAAACTATACAAGTTGAGGAAAGGGAAAAC